GTCAAGCCAACGAGCAGTATCACGTCTCGGTACCGAGCAGTAGTTTAGTGTCCGGGCAGCGACGGGAAGGGCGTTTCTCGCGAGAAACGAGTGCTCGGCTCGTCTCGTGCCGCCCCTAATAATTAGGAAATCTGAGGGATTTTGACGATATCATCATCGTCATCATAATCATCTTCATCATCATCATCATCAACAACAACAACAACAACAGCAACAACAACAACAACAACAACAACAACAACAACAACAGCATCATCATCATCTCAACAATACAAGTTTATCATCATTTGTCTTAAAACAACAACAACAACAAAGTAATTATAACAATAGTCCGTCTATCATGGACTGATGCTCACCTTTACCATCCAGAGAGAACGAAAAATTGTCCATTTTTCATCCCATAGTACTGTCCCCGTTGTTTTATGCAAGAAAACTTATGCAATTATGCTAACTGAGCCCCAAAATGTGAAATTATGCGATTCTGTTAATTTTAACGAAGAATGATAAAGGAAATTAATCAGAAATTATGCCCCCAAAAAATGATCAAATTTTGCTAAATTATGCGGATGCATAAAACAACGCGGACAGATAGTAACTGCCAATACAAATCACTTCGCCCACATCCCACTTCATCACAGAAGCAAAATAGAGACAAAACAAAATTAAAACCTACGGAAATCTGTAAGAAAAATATGGAAAGTAAAAACAATCTTTTATGTAAACAATTTCACATGCACAACAGATACACGAAAACAAATACAGAAAGTATTCTTGGCTGAATTTTGTAAACGGAGTAATGTTAATGTTAATGGTAATTCCGACATCGATGTAAATTGAAATTAAAGTAATAGGGTTTAGAGTACTAGAGAAATGTTACGTAACTCCGAACGAGCAAACAAGCAAGCAAACAAAAACGAACAAAAGATGTTTATTCTGACACCCAGGAGACGTGTTGTATACCAGTATTTATTATAATCTCAGTCTTTTATTTTATTTATTTATATTAATACTATCACGACTCATTGATAATTCCTCGGATTCATTCGTTATTTTGAAAGTTCGTTTGCCCATTCACTTAAAATGTTAACTTTTTTTAAAAACATATTCGTCCTGTTGACTGTAAGTTCGTTCATGTAATCCTTCCTTGGTTCATTCTTCCATCGTCAATTCCTGTCCAGGTGTGGTTCCAGAACAGGAGAGCCAAGTGGAGAAAAGGTGTCGCCCCGAAGGTACAGATGAACGCCATGACAGGTGAGCAGGACTTTACGTCGTTCTTCGCGATGTTTGTGACAGTGTTGAATTTTACAGCACTTGCAACACTATAAGGTCATAATATAAGTGCCGGAGATTAGAGGTGTTGCAAGAGAGGAATAAACATAAAAAAGAAGGCGGAGAAATAAAGACCATAGATGTTTGATAGGAAAGAAGGAGTTAACCACACCAGAGCACCCGCCAACCACCCACTTCACGCTTTTACTTTTAGAGTCAGTGTTGAGTTTCAAATATTTTTCCCATACTTTCAGTCAAAAAAAGAAAACGTTTTGTTTCGCATTTAAAAAAAATTATGTTTCTTTTTTTCTCTCTTTCTTTCTTTCTTTCTTGGTTTCTTTCCTTCTTTCTTTCTTTTTTTTTAGAGGGGGGGGGTTACTTTTTCACCAATGACTTTTGTTTCGTTGAGGTGGGTTTTATTTTTTTATTTTTTTGGAGGGGTTGGGTTGGGCAGGAGGTCACTTTTTGCGAAAGACGTTTATTTCTGGGGGTTCGGGCGGTATTTCTTTGAAACAAAAGTGATTAAATAAGTTTGAGTTATGTGTATTACAATGTCCTATATAGATCCCAATGTCCTATATAGATCCCATATGTAATGCAGCAATGTCCTATATAGATCCCATGTGTAATACAACAATGTCCTGTGTAGATCCCATATGTAATACAACAATGCCCTATGTCTGTGTAATATAACAATATCCTATGTAGATCTATGTGTAATATAACAATGCCCTATGTAGATTCCGTGTGTAATACAACAATGTCCTTTATACATCCCATGTGTAATACAACAATGTCCTCTGTAGATTCTATGTGTAATACAACAATGTCCTATGTAGATTCTATGTGTAATACAACAATGTCCTATGTATGTGTAATACAACAATGTCCTTTATACATCCCATGTGTAATACAACAATGTCCTCTGTAGATTCTATGTGTAATACAACAATGTCCTATGTAGATTCTATGTGTAATACAACAATGTCCTATGTATGTGTAATACAACAATGTCCTATGTATGTGTAATACAACAATGTCCTCTGTAGATTCTATGCGTAATACAACAATGTCCTATGTATGTGTAATACAACAATGTCCTATATCGATCCTATGTATAATACAACAATGTCCTATGTCTGTGCAATACAACAATGTCCTCTTTAGATTATATGTGTAATACAACAATGTCCTATGTCTGTGTAATACAACAATGTCCTATGTAGATTCCGTGTGTAATACAACAATGTCCTATATAGATCCCAAGTGTAATACAACAAAGTCCTCTTTATGTCGCCATCAGGAGACAACAAGGCCTCAGTGCGCGTGGGTTCCACGGCTCATGTGTTACAGCTCCTGTCCTCGGTCAGATCTCAGTATGCAGACAGAAGGGATGGTGAGTACTGGTGGAGGTTTTGGGCAGAGTTTTACGGCACTTGCAACACAAATAGGTCATATGAGTGACGAGGATTACAGGTATTACTATGGAGTATTATTATTATTATTATTGTTATTTTTATTATTATTATTATTATTATTATTATTATTATTATTATTATTATTATTATTATTATTGTTGTTATTATTGTTGTTGTTGTTTTTATTATTATCGTTATCATCATTATCATTAATATTATCAACTCATCATCACCATCATCACCATCATTATTATTAACATTATTATTATTATTATTATTATTATTATTATTATTATTATTATTATTAATAGTTTTATTATTAATATTATCATTATTATTATTATAATTATTATTATTATTATTATAATTATTATTATTAGTATTGTTATTACTATTATTATTATCATTATGATTATTATTTTATTATTATTATAATGATAATAATAACAATAATAATAATTAGTATTTTCTATATTATTAGTATCACCATTATTATTATTGTAGCTTTTGTTTCGTTGTTCAGCCTCTTGATCTAGCTGATTTTATCATCATCATCATCATCATCATCATCATCATCATCATCATCATCATCATCATCATCATCATCATCATCATCATCGTCGTTTGATAAGCAGAGTAGGAGGGAGAGTCTTGTTTGAATTTCAGACAAAATAACATAACATTATAAAATGTTTAAATTTGTTTAATATACACAGCTCAACGTTTCGCCTCGTGGGCTTCCTCAGGAGCAACTGAGAGTAAAACTAAATGTGCGCTGTATGTATATTAGCAGGGAAATGGGCCTAACAAAGGAGGGTCTAAGATTACGTGTGGTTACTGGCTAGAATCATCATCATCATCATCGTCATCGTTATCGTCATCGTCATCAACAACAACAACAATAACATTAGCAGTAGCAACAACAACCAGAATAACAACAGTCGCTTGCTGCAAAGAGAATAAGTCCTACTTCTTTTCTTTCCCTCTGTTGTTTCTGTCTGTCTGTCTGTCTGTCTGTCTGCCTGTCTGTCTGCCTGTCTTGCTCCTTCCCTGCGCTATATTACGACCGTTATTGGGTCGATGTACTTCTCATAACTCAAACACAAACACAGGTACATGTGTAGGGCCTCAGCTCGGTTCAACGTTGTGTCCTTGGGAAAGACATTTTATTCAAATTTCCCATTTGGCTCGGTTCTTTCGGAGATGGAAGTTATGCTCGGATGCCCCGCCTCTTAAATAAACTAATAGTGTAGATAAGGGCGTTAAACCTATTCCATTTGACCATTTAATTTCACCACTTTCACCATTTCACCACTTTCACTAATTAATTCACCACTTTCACCATTTCACCATTTCATCATTAATTCACCAATTCACCACTTTCACCATTTCACCATTTCATCATTAATTCACCAATCCACCACTTTCACAACCACCATAACATATAACCTAACCCACTGTTCCTCCATCTTCTTTCAGACAACCACACCATGTACAAGCCAAGCCCTGCACCCCTCCATCCGCCTGCCCCATCAACCAATCAGACGACATATCAGTGCCCGCCTTTTCCCTTCCCGCCATCTTGGCCGATGACGTCACCGGCCTACCTGTGGTACCTCTACGGCGGCATCCCTCCAACAGCAGTATCATCAGCAGCATCATCAGCAGCAGCATCAGCAGCAACAGCAGCAGCA